CATTGATTTTAAAATAAATTATTGAAAGTGGCCGGCCTGCTCTTTGCATTTGTAAAAAAGGAGAATGTAAGTGTATTTGCAATGATAAAAAATGAAAACGAAAACTTGATTCCTTTATCCTCTCAGGCACCAGCACTTAATCTAGTGATGGTTCAAAAATAGAAAAAAATACAAATGTGTTCTGTGCAGTTCGATTCCAGCCCAGATGCTCAGATTTCCACTGTGCCTTGTGGTCATCTAGAAAGGAGAGAAACACTGGCCATGAGTCTATGTCCTGTGCCACCATCACTTGGCTTTGGGGTGACAGATATAAAGGGGAAGCCTTGGCTGGGCATGGAGGTATATGCCTGTCATGCCAGCACTCGGGAGGCTGAGGCAGGAGGATTGCTGTGAGGTCTAGGCCAGCCTGGGCTACACCCTGAGTTCAAGGCCAGCCTGGACTGCATGACGTGACCATGTCTCAAAAAAAAAAAAAAAAAAAAAAAAGGGTGGGGTGGGGTGGGGGAGAACCTTTGCCTCCTACACTCACTCTGTCCCGCACCATCCTTCCCAAGAGGAAGAAGGTGGGCTCAGCTGCAGGCCTTGCTGGATGCCTGAGGCCCCTTGGAATCCCTGAGGGATGGACCAAAAGCAGCTTTCCCATCTGGTCGCGACAGGCATATCCCTAGGTATGTTCCTGGCTCCAGAGAGAGAAGCAAACAATTTGTCTCAGACCCTCCTGGGAAACCAGACCCCTATCTTCCAAGCTCCAAAGTCGAGATGACCAGGCAATGGGGGAAAATAGCCTTGCTTTTTATTGCTGCTTTTTGATCCAGGGTCATACACTGCTAGGTAGCCCAGGGTGGCCTTGGATTCTCCAGGCTCCTCCTGCCTCAGCCTCCTGGGTCTGGAGGTTATAGGTGCATCCCACCATGTCTAGTAAAAGTCTTTCTGATTGGCTGGCCAGATAGCTCAGCCAATTAATGTGCCTGCTTAGGCAGAGCACAGGGACCAGGGTTCGATTCCCTGTGTAATGTGTCGGCTCTGCCTCCGGGGCTCGCTGAGATGGCAATTGTGACTGGGCGTGGTGGTGCATGCCTGAAATCCCAGTGCTTGGGAGGCTGAAGATAAGAGGATCACTATGAGTGATCTATGTAGTCAGACCGTGTAGACCCTGTATTAAATACATTAAAAAAAGTTTTTCTGGTTGAAAAAGGAAGTAAGTTAGATGGCTAAATTTCTTTCTTTCGTTCTCTTTCTGTCTTGTTTATCTGTAATATGAGGTTTTAACTTATCTGTAATATGAGGTTATTTTCCAAACATTTTTAGGCTAAAGAGCTCACTGAACTACTAAGAGTATTATTAGGCATGTTTGTATTACAGTGACTGAAATACATCTTCATTTAAGGGAGAATTAAAATTTATGTGCTAGCTCAACTTTAAACAGTAATAGATTATAATGGTCCTCGGTCCTAACGGGGCATATGGGACCCCAACCTTACATAGGTTTTAAACAAATTAACCTCTAAAGATTACTGCCCGCTTATTACATTAAATGCTCTACTTGATTTCCAAATATCACATCTCAGCTGGGAGAACTCGAAGAAGATTCTGCCAGCCGAGCGGACATGGGAGGCAGCCGCGGAGTGGCGCAGACCAGCCCCACCGCCTAAGAGTCCACTGCAATCAGCAGCCTTGGCACAAGGTCAGGTTCAGTAATGAGGGGCTAGGAGGACAGGACCCAAAGCTGCCCAGGAGGGACACAGGGGCACCGGCCCCACACCTGCCTCCTCTCGCAAGTACTGCTCTGAGGCCCTGCGACACCCGCTGTACCCACAGCAGACAGCACCTCCCCCCCAAGCCCAGTGACAAAAGCTTTAAGAATGCCACCTGGATCAGCATGCAACCAGATGTCAGGGTGGCAGATGTGGCACAGATACTGACAGACTCGGAAGTCAAAGCAAGCGAGCAGGAAGGATGCTACAGGCCCTGCTGGTCTTTTATTTACTGAGACAGGGCCTCGCTTAGTAGTTCAGGATGACCTTGAACTCACTATGGAGTCCTTGAACCAGAGACGATCCTCCTGCCTCAGCCTCCAGAGTGCTGAGATGACAGGTGTGCAGCACTACCAGGCCCAGCTCTGGCCCTCTTTAGACAACACAGAAAATGCAAGCAAGAGCCTAATAGCAATTTAATTCTCAGTGGTGTATGGGGTAATCTCAGCTGTTACTTCAAAATACTTGCATCCTGACTCTGAGGCCCGCCTGGATATGTTGCATCTAAACTTAATTTGTGCTAATGGCCGCACTCGGAATGCTCTGAATTTAATCTTGCAAATAATAACTGAGCATCTACTAACTGGGGAGAAAGACAGGAGTACAGATCGCCGAGATAGGGGAGGCCGGCCGCTGGGGGACTCAGGTGGGAGGATGCGGGCAGGCGGAGGGCCACCGGGATGAGGGACCCAGTAGGGCTGGCTCCCGCTGCTGCTGCCCAGGCTGGGGTGAGGACTGAGAAAGACCGGGTTGAGGCGGCGCAGTCTCTTCCTCAACTTTGTGTTATTTTCCGTCTCTTTAGACCCTCACCCCCAGCCCTGCCCCGGGATGGCATGCAGAGGGAAACACAACTCCAAGGAATGCTTGCTTCTGATTCTGATTTTAGAGAATGCAGTTCCTTGCTTTATTCTAAAGGGGTCTGGTGGCCAGGCCCTTGAGGACATGCTCAGAGTCTTGGGAGCGCTGGCCCCTGTCTGCTCTTCTGAGACCTCTGGGGCACACGGCTGCTGCCATCCGGGCTGCCACAAGGCCAGGGGGCAGCTCTTGGCAGCCTCGGATGCCTTGCTGGGGCCCAGGCGGCCCCACAGGGCAAGCTGGTCAAGGCGGTCCTTTTAGGGCATCTGGAATCAGGGGGCTCCGCCTGGGAGTGTGCTCGGGAGCCGAGAAGGGGCTCTGAGAGGTCTCGGCTTTCCATGTGCCACCCCGACATTTCCAAAGATGAAGGTCCCCACAGGCTCAGCACAGAGGTCCAGAAATCCTGAAGGACACTCACCTTGAAACCATATTCTTCCAGACTAACATTTTAGGGGTGTGGCTGAATACCCTGAGTGCTTTAGTCTTTCCCTCTTGGGGACCAGACCACTCTCCACACGGCAAATGCTCATCATCCTGTGATGGAGTGCGTTGGATCTGATGACCCATACATTATTTTGATTTAGGAAAAACATTTTTTATTGACCTGTATGTGATCCATACTCCTTTCTACGTAAATTACACTCCAGGTGGGGGCTTTCCCCATGGAGACATTGAGGCCCCCGATGGTCACGTCCCAAAGGCTGGGCTTAGCACCCTTGCCAGGCTCGGGTGGTGGTGGATGTCTGTCATGCCACCACTGGGGAGGCTGAGGCAGGAGGATTGCCACAGGTTCAAGGCCAACCTGAGCTACTTTTGAGGCCCTGTCTCAAAAAAAAAAAAAATTATCTTTCACAAAGCACATTTATCCATTGTCATGAAATGAACACCAGAGGCCTGAGGCATCGCTGCTGTTAGCTGTGAGCTCTGTGAGGCCTCATGGGCTGTCTTTGCCACCCAGCACCTGGCCTCAGGGTAGAACCACCTGGAGCAGAAGGTGGGCTCTGCTTTCTGTCTGATCAGGAGTTTCCATGTGGCTGATGCCCACCTGGACGCCCTTGGCCGGGCTGGCAAGAGCAGGGACCTGGGCTCTTCAAGGAGGCGGCACTTCCTGTTGAAAGGCCACCATGTGCGTTGCCACAGCTGGTACCTCCCAGGGCCCCTGCGTGCTGGGGCTCCATGCCCGGAGCTCCCACACCTCAGATCCGGCCCCTTGTGTCCCCTTCCAGCAGAGCTGCTGTCATTCTCCCCAGTTTTGGAGCCAGGGAAGGCAAGGCACAGGCCCTGGCCCCTCAGCCTGTGCTGGCACGGAGACCACCCTGACCGGCGGCCAGCTGGACATCTGCAACGAGGGGCTACGTCACGTGCCCACATACCGCTGCTTACTTGCGGTCCTCTTGTTTGCTTTTTTCTTTTTGTTGTAGCAGGCATGGGACTCAGAGCTTTTCCTCTAGCTCCATCCCCAGCCTCTTCTGTTTGTTTTGAGACAGGGTCTTGTTAAATTCATGAAGTTGGGGGCCTGGCCGTAGCTCAGGCCTTTAAGTGGCTGCTTCCACAAAGCTGTCAGCCTCAGGTTGCTGGAGTTCGAACCTCACACCTCTCC